TATATCCTATAAAAACTCTGATCTGACAATCATCAGGGCTGCTTCTATTCCCGAGATAGCCCGGCTGGTCGAAAATTTAAAATTAAAATTTACCTTGCTACTTTTCTTAAAGTGGTGTTGGTGATTTTTTTTTTTACGAACTCTGTCCTATAACAGGTTGTGGTTGTGGTGAGTACAATTATGTTCTCTTGTGGGGCAGCTGAACCAGGGAAAGAGGCCACAGAGCAGGGGAGAACTAAGGTAACTAGCCTCAGCTCCATGCCTCTGCCTTCAAATCTTACCTTTAGGCTCTCTGCACATTAAAAAGTCCTGTGGTATCCAGGTGTGGTGGCACACGCCTTTGATCCCAGCACTCGGGTGGCAGAGGCAGGCAAATCTCTGTGAGTTCAAGGCCAGCCTGGTCTACATAGTAAGTTCCAGGCCAGCTGGGGCTACAGGGAGACCCTGTCTCAAAAAGAGAAAAAAAAGTCCTGTGGCTTTTTCATTTTCTCTTCTGTACAAAGGGGGTGAATGACTGTAAAGATGAAAATTTTAAACCTATAGGAAGCAGCTAGCAGCAGGCTATAGTAACTGACAGCTGCTATCATTAGAAAATCTCCAGGCTGAATGGTTACAGAAGAGCTGGGAGCCTTTAAAGCACCTCAGAGGATTAGTCCAGAACTGGCTCTGTGGAGTCTCCTCCCTGGTGACTCAACATGATCCCTGACTATGATGGCTCATTGCTCACTTTTGATGGCTTCATTTGGGTCACCTAGAATGAGGAAAGCATTCATGCCTGGCGTGAACAAACACACCTGCCACTGATAAGGCAAAAGGAATTCAAAACAAACAGGATTTCAGCTCCCTTCCTCCTCTGCAATGATCCATATTTAATGGAAAGACTTGTACACTTTGGCACAGTTCCCCTTGACACAGTGAACAGGCACATTCTGTGGCTGAATGTTCTCAGTCTGACCTCCCCATGTGATGCCCCTTCCTTTGGTACCCCCAGGTGAGTCAGTCTGCCTCTCTTGGCCTTAATTTCTTGAATTGTGCATGAAGGGAGTTTGACAGGATGTTTGCTAAGACACCCTACACTGGCTCATCTTTTGGCCAATACCATCTCTGGTGTGAGGCTTAGGCTTGGTTAAAGTGGAATGAACCTTCCTGGAGAGAAAGTAGAAGTAGTCAAGTGCACCAAGGGAAGAGGATGTTGCTGGTTGAGTGGGCAGCAGAGGGGCCAGGGCTGAGCAACAGAGTTCATTGGGTATGGAGCTAAATTTACCATCCTGCTTCCTGTAGTCACCCAGCACTGTGTACATGTGGCCCACCCCTCCAAGATGGAGTCCATAAATCATTCTTTTACCTAGAGTCTAGACTGAATTGGGTTAAATTAGAAGTTATATGTGTGATATATGAATGTGTGCATATGTACATGTATGTGTGCACATGTGCGTGTGCGTGTGTGTGTGTGTGTGCAAGAGGGTGCATGTGGAAACCATAAGTTGCTCTCAGGATTTCTTTCTCAATCACTTCACCTTTTTTTGAGGCAGGGTCTCTTACTGAACCTGGAGCTCACCATTTCAGCTAGAATGGCTGGCCAGTGAGCCCCCAGGATCTGCGTGTCTTGCCCTCCTCTAGTGCTGCAGTTACAGGCACTGGTACCAACACACCCAGAGTATTACATGAGTTCTAGGGATCTAAACTCACGTCCTTATGCTTGCTTAGCAAGCACTTCACTCACTGCAGCATCTCCCCTGCTCAATTAGATTTGTAACCCGAAACACTTACTATGCTTTGTGTTTGGAAAGTCTAGCCCTTGCAATGACTGTTCCTTAACGTCACAGTTGGGAAGTAATTCTTACTACTCTTTCTTTATTCCAGATATGAATGTTCACATGTGTAGTAATGTTAGCCCTGATAGCATCAGGCTTAGAAGGGAGAAAAGTGAATGAGAGTAGGGAAACTAGGAGCGTCATAGGGCCCCTCAAATGTCTCATCACAACCAAGTGCAGGGCTTGTTGGGGGAGACATTTGGGGTTCACCAGGGCAGGGCACATTTATAACCTCCTTTGCTGCATGTCTTTGACTTGGATTTCTTAATAGCAGACTTGCAAAACAGCAAGGAGGAATTTAAGTTTTTACGTGATCCTGTTTATTCCTGGGATTAGATG